TAAAATAACTGCATCATTTCAGCTGAAAAGTCTTTTCCTTTCTTTTCCTTTTCCTCTTCTTTTTCTTTTCTTGATAATAAAAAACCCTGCAAATAAGGATGTCCTCAGTAAGTCACTTTTTCCTTCCCCACCAAAATTCTATTATTTCGAACATACTCAGCTCCTCAGCAACCAATATTCAAGACATCCTAGTCTAGGAAGCACTGACCAGAAAGTCACAGGCATTTTCTTTCTGGAAAAATGCAGACTTAAATACTTATCAAAATGCAAAAGAAGAGGCTAAGAGTTGCCCACACAGTGACTCCAGAATTAACACAAACTTCTGAAAGATACGAAATGTCACTTATAGTTCACTGGGGAAGAAGGGAGATGTGTATGCAATCTCCTGTATCACTGGCAGCTGCCCTCACCACTGGACAACACGGTAAAGTAGATGCAGACCCAACTTCTGTTCTCTTTTGATAGTGATACCTAAGTTTACCGTTAAGTACTATTGCTTTACTTTATTTAAAATATTTAAATTAATTTATTTAAGAGGATAAAATATTTTATTCATCAGAAATTGTTAGGGTTTTTTTTCAGCAAGGAAAAAAATCCTTCCATATTTGAGTTACTTTTCATAAAATTTTTCACTTCAGACCAAACAAGAAATTAATAATTTACAAGGTTCTAATCTGAATTTATTAAAAATCGCTTTGCACTCTCAAAATTTCTCTTTCCTGTCTTTGTTTCTTGAAAGGAAAACAGTTACTGCAAACAAGATTTAATTGTAGCAGATGGAAGGCACTGGCTAGTACAGCTTTTTTTTTTTTAATTGAAGTCTGCAGTTAGCAGGGTAAAGATGATACCACTGTATACATATATATGTGTATATGTATAGTATGTAGATGTATGCATTTATCACAATAACTATATTTATAGACTGGAAATCTCTAAGTGATTAAAAGCAAAAATATGGGCAGCTTTTGCAGGCAAAAAAAAGGAATGTACTATCTTTGTGCAAATACTGCGCTGACTGTTGAAAAAAATTCAGTGGATGTGATGACTCTATAAATATATACACTATTCTTACAAAATTCAGGACACTGTACATCACTGCATTCTTATTCTGCTTCATTTAATACTCACAGACAGACTGTAAGAAGGTTCCAATATCACTGGTACTGACATCTTCCCTTGAAGATTCAATTTTGTTAAGTAAAAAATCTTCTCTCCCACAATCCTCTCTTTTTTCATGCGACGTATACTGTACAGTCTAAAACGAACTGCATAATTCCCAATCATCTCAGACTCAACGTGATTAAATTTGAATGTCTCTGTGAAGACAGGGCACGGTCCCCGCTGGATGCTGGTTTTTGCTCTCTGTTTCTTTATAGGGAGAAGAACTAGGTGTACTTGCCATGAGCTTCCACCTGCCCTGCTGTATGTTGGAACGTCTGTGACAGCTGTCACTGTCACCAGAAGCTTCTGTTCCTGTGAGTCATAGTCAAAAGTCACATCCAGTGTGCCATATTTAGCTATTGGCTCAGGATCAAAAGGTTTAGGAAGCTGCGAAGATGATCCTCGAGCTGACATATCCTGAAGGAAAAAAAATACAAATACCTTTATTTATTTATTTATTGTTTTCTATTATTAAATCTAGCATGGAAATATATGGGTTTCTCTAAGCAGCAAGAAGTGACTGTGATCTTTGTTCATTTCATAAACAAGGTAATTAAAAACTGAAAGTGTGAATGGCTGACTGGCAGCAAAGAGAAATCAAAAGATTTTACCTGGCCAAATTGCCAAAAGCCAGATGCCAACCAGACAGACCTGGGATTAAATTAAGCTGTATTTAAGATCTCTTCTTCTCTTCCCCACATTAAAACAAATACATGTTTGTTATGAGATACGTGTGAGCGTATACATTTTTTTGAGTTAACATATTTTAGGATTTTAAGACTTGGATCGTGTGACGTGAACAAAGAAAAGACAAAATACAACACTTACTCACACATGCAGCTCTTGCTGCAGGCAACAAGGGCTCTATGTATGTACCAAAAAATAACACGGCTTTATTAACGTAATTCCACTAGAACTGTGTAAGGTGTGTCTGTTTTCAACATGCTTTCTGAATTTTCCATAAACAACATCAGTCCTAAAACGAAAGCTTAATTTTAAAACTGCTTATTGTCACTTTGAATTTTGAACAAAATACTGATATGTTGTGTTTTAACAAAAGCTAGTTTGATAATGATACTGAAATAAGTAATATTTACAAATACAGATTACATACTGAATACAAGACGTTAATAAATAACAAGAAGTTATTCCAAAAATGAAAAACAAACTTATTTCATATCATCAAAGATACGCTTGTTCGTACAAATGAATAGATGCTACAATATAGTCTTTCTGATACAAAAATGTTTTGTTCTTATTTTAAACCTGACGCTATGTATCTATGGGAATTCACTCCTCTACAAGCTTCATTTTACAAGCTGTTGAGTGATTACATAAAAAAGCAGGCAGTATCTGCCATTCTTACTGGGTACATCTAGATTATTGCTTGCTGTGACACGAAAAAGGACGGACTAATGTTTGATTTGCTGAGATCTATTGTGGTTCCAGGATCATATATACACACTGTGTCTTTACCAGCAATGAATTTCATACAAATTGTGATCATCAGGCACAGGCACACAGCAAACTATTGGACGACCTTGCACCATCCTAGCAGGTAAGCCCTCCAACACCCCAGAGCGTAACATCCACTTAGGGTCTACCAAGAGGGAAACTGCTGTTGGCACATCAGGACTGCTCCCTACTGTGACCCCAAAACTTCGAATAGAGACACAAGACAAATCTGCACCAATATAAGTCTCTTCTGCACACTGCATCACCCATGGAGACTCACCCATAGATGTCAGTGCAGTACCTGGCTGTTAAATATACGTCAAAGAAATAGATGCCAGAGAAGATGCTAAGTGCTCTGTAGGACTAGGTTGTAAAATAAACGCTACTACAGAAAGGGGGATTCTTTGGTGGTAAATAGATATCGTTATGGGTTACCAAGGAAAAAAGGAGAAGTAAATGGACCAAATCTCTATTACAAGGTTTTTTAAATGTTCAAAAGTTGAAGTTAAAAAAAATGTAATAATATTTTTTCTCCATTCAATAATTTTTCTTTGGTGTTCAGTTTGAAAAGTGCTAATAGAATAATATTTTATTTGGGTTGCTTGATGTTAATTTAAAAATTACAGAGAAGAAATAGAGTTTTGATTTTAGTCCTTAATAAAATTGATAAAGTTTTCTGACTGGTTTAAAAAAAATAATTCACTCTTTTGGGGAATTGGTTTGAAAGTTAAAATGTCATAAATGTACCTATAAAGAAAAATCTGAAATCTTACTGCAATATTATCTGACAAGCTATATTTTGTATGGATGAGCTGCAACATTAGCGTTCATATCTTTGTACACTGATCTTTAGAAAAAAGCCCCCAGAAGACTGAACTGCATGACATTTCAGAACATTTAACTGTTCTCACTTACCTCTGGACTAAGGACAGCTGTGCTATCACTTGGTACATCCTCTTCATAGCCTTTGTTATGGAAGCTTTCTATTTCGTGTCCTGTGCTTCCCTCACTCGGGCACTTATATGAACATCTTGGACTGTTGCTACACTGGGAAAATTCACATTTACTGTCTCCAACTTCAGAGGGCGTACATGAAAGATGAGGAGAACCACTGTCATCCTGGTATGGAGGTGGCTGCAGTTCATCTAGTGGAGGTGTTCTTCTCATCCTCTGAATGCAGTTCGCTGAGAATAAATGAAAATTCTTTACTTACTTTCTGATTATTTACCATCGCAACAGTTCTGTGGGAAATGATAAGTTCAAATATCAGTATTTAAAATCTATTTTTACTTTACATTTCAAGCTAGATAAAAAAACACTATTGAAAAATATTTGTTAAAAACAGAATCAACTGATATCTCTGATAAAAGATGTAAGAAAAAGCAAAGTATTAAACATTAGTCATAACGGACTGTGCAAGTTGTACATGAATAAGCATAGCACAAATATGACACGACAAAAATTCCAGGGTTTAATCTCAGGGGTACTTACCTTGCTCAGCCTTTGGATACCGTGAGTTGTTTCCGTGCAAGTGGAACGTAGACCAATTTTCCTTAATTGTTTTCTTTTCAAAATGCACTCCCTAAAGCCATGATATCAAACTTCTGAATACCTCCCACACAGTTGCTCACCCAGGGTGCTATTAAATTCAACGCCTAAGACAAATAAGGTAGTAATAAAGGTTGACACAAGCCTTTATACACAACTGAACGCTGCTCATCAGTGAATTTAACGCATGGAGCAGCATCTCAGAGATAGATTCTTTATTACCTGTTAAGGATGGCTAAGGGCTATGTACCCAGCGTCTAGAAATTTGATACTAGGTCAGCCACTGAAGTCGGTGGCAAAAGCACCATGATCAATCTTGTGCTTAGAATGGATACTTGACGCTGAACATCTTTGCTTCTCACTAATGCTAGCTAGATGGATGGAACTGTGGTTATAAAATTCCTCAGAAAATAAACCTGGGGTGCACGGTTATGGATACACAAAAGTTAATTCCAAACAATCACATTTCAGTTTTCGATCTGTTTTAATACACAGCGTTGCACAGCTCGTTGTAGCTGGGAAAAAAGAGCAAGGTGCGCGTTAGCTGAAATGAAAGGAATATACAAAGGACAGCTAAAGCTTGGATCACGTTTTGTTTATATGTGCCGTACAGGCTTTCATGAAAATTGTGATGTGTCTCACATGTAGGAATAACTAAATGCACAAAAATTTCAAAGCAATAACATTTCTACTCATATAAGAAATCTACCGAATAAGTTAATGAAAGTATGAACACTAGAACATTATGCAAGACTTCATTTCAGATTCAGCTAAGAAAGAAACTAATATTCTTTCCTATATCACAAAGGTTGTTACATTTTAGATTCACCACCAAAATTTGGCATACAGCATTTATGATTCATAAGACACCCTCAGTCTTTGTATGCTTTCTGTCTTCATTCACCAGTCCTTATAAGCCTTTAGGTTATATCATAAGAATTTTTTTTCCTTTTTTTTTTTTTCCTATCACTTGGAAAGAATGCTTAAAAATCTAGTTGCACAGCCTCTGCTGGATGCCAACCAGACAGACAGGAAGGGGATTCTAAGTGTGGAATTCCATGTAGTAGCTTTCTGGGTTCTGCCTCCTGGCAGTAAGAACATTTTGATCTAAACGTGCAGGCCCTAAAATTGTGCAAGCCCTGCCTGTGTCCTAAATTCTCACCAAGTACACCAACCTTTTAGCTTTCAATCTGTTGCTAAGAGGTAATCAACAGCTTCCCTTACAGAATGAGGTCGAAAACACAGTAATGTGGCTTTCAGGAAATAAAGTCTTAGTGAACACCTCCGCCCCTTCCCTTTTTTGGTTCTGTTTTGGAAGTTATACTGTGGCATGCAGGAATGTTGCATAGCTTCTGGAACTAGACATATGCTCAGGCCACCATAGTTTTGGTGCACACGATCCACAAGGAGCAAACTCAGGCACTTTGGCTAGAAGGGAGGAAGAATGACTGGCTGGGTAGATGAGGGGAGAGCAGTGGATGTCATCTACCTTGATTTCAGTAAGGCTTTCAACACTGTCTACCACAACATCCTCACAGACAAGCTGATGAGGTAGGGGCTAGATGAGCAAATAGCGAGGTGGATTGAAAAGTGGCTGAACGGCAGAGCTTAGAGGGCTGTGATGAGTTACGCATAGTCTAGTTGGAGGCCTGCAGCCAGCTCTGTATCCCAGTGGTAAATACTGGGTCCAATCCTGTTCAACTTTTTCATCAGTGACCTGGACGAAAGGACAGAGCGTACCCTCAGCAAGTCTGCTGTTGACACAAAACAGGACCGAGTGGCTGATACACCAGAGGGCTGTGCTGCCATGCAGAGGGATCTCGACAGACTGGAGAAAGGGGCAGAGGGGAACCTCATAAAGTTCAGTAAAGGGAAGTACAGAGTCCTGCCCCGAGGAGGAATAACCCTGCACGAGGACAGGCTAGGGGGTTGACCTGCTAGAGAGCACTTCTGCAGAGAAGGACCTGGGAGTCCCGGTGGACAAGGTGAGCCTGAGCCAGCAATGCGCCCCTGTGGCCAAGACGACCAACGGTATCCTGGGGTGCATTAGGAAGAACCTTGCCAGCAGGTCGAAGGAGGTGATCCTTCCCCTCAACTCCAGCCTGGTGAGGCCACACCTGGAGTGCTGGGTCCAGCACTGGGCTCCCCAGTACAAGAGAGACATGGATGTACTGGAGCAAGTTCAGCAAAGGGCCACTAAAACGATTAAGGGATTGGAGCATCTCTCATACGAGGAAAGGCTGAGGGAGCTGGGCCTGTTTAGCCTGCAGAAGAGAAGACCGAGGCGGGGGAATCTGATCAATGCATACAAATATCTGAAGGGAAGGTGTAAAGACGATGGGGCCAAACTCCTCTCCGTGGTGCCCAGTGACAGGACAGGACAAGAGGCAACAGGCACTAACTGAAACACAGAAAGGTCCATTTGAACAGAAAGAAAGGCTTTTTTTTTTTGGTGAGAGTGACTGCACACTGGAACACGTCACCCAGAGGGGTCATGGAGTTTCCATGCTTGGGGATATTCAAAAGCCACCTAGACACGTTTCTGGGCAACATGCTCTAGGTGACCCTGCATGAGCAGTGGAATGGGACTAGATGGTCTTCGCAGGTGCCTTTCAACCTTAGTGATGCTGTGATTCTGTGGAGCCAAAGTGCATTGTAGACCCCCAAAGCTGGACAACTAAAGAAGGAGGACATGAAAGCTTACTAGTTACCGCACAGGTAACTATAGGCCTCACAGATCACGTGTGTTGAGGACAGCAGGGCTCTTCTCTATTTCACTGAGCTCCTCCTAGCTTTAGGTTAAAAAAAAAAAAAAAAAAGGGGGGGTAATTAAAACAACATAAAGCACTCCTACCAGATAATACTGTTGTTAGGAATGCTCACTTTCCTGATCAGAGCCAGGCTACCATTCAGAGTGACCATGTTAGTATTACAACACTCATGTAAAAGGTCCTCTGTTATTAGTTTGCTCAGTGATGCTCACTCTTGAAACTCCAGTCCCCCAGGGATGGAAAGGACAAAAGAGCAGGTAGGGAATCCCATACTCAAATGAAGTCATCAGCCTAGCAGATACACATAAAACTTTAAAAAAGAAACTGAGTTCTTAAGCAGGACAGTTAGAATATCAAACTCATCATGCAGGAACAGTGAGAAAGTTTTATTTGTAAAATACGGAGCGATCTAGGAAAGCACATTTTTTGATATTAGATTTAAATATCTTGTGCCCATGGAACTAGACAGACATTGTCTGAGAATCTAAAATGGTATGTTTATCAAAATAAAATGATAATAAATATAATTTCACTCTCTATACTGTAAAAACAGGACTTCCTTTTCATAACTTATGTCATTAAATATTATTTCAAATTCGGAGCAACTACTTTTCTGCTCATTGTGGCCAAAAGGCAACAAACAGTAGTAAAGGAGACACTAACTACCGTATAGCTACAACTCAATTTCTTTTTCAGTTGTACTCTAGTCTGTAATGACTTTTTAACCTCAGCTTTTCCATAATCCAAAGAACTGGAGCTATGTCTGGGTAACTATCAACACCATTATTGTTTTACATGAGTAAATAAATGATGGTGTGACTCACTTTTTTCACTTTGATGAACTCCATTATATGTCCCTATGGGAAAACTGCACAGGCTGCATGACTGAGAAGGCACTTTTAATGTAGGCGGGGAAGAAGTGAAGAAAAGAAAATTCTTACTACCCAGCTAACTGCGATTCATAAATGTCAGAAAAGCAGAAACACCAAGGCAGGTTTCAACTATTTATTTTTGAAAGGTTACTTACCAAATAGAAACGTGTAAATTGTTAAAACAAATATCCAATATCACTTTCTAAAATCTCAGGACACCTTTGTCTAAACAGGCATAAACGGTTTTTGAACCAGAGAGTTCTCTAAATAAAAAGATACTAAAGCTTTTAAATATACTTTGAGTGAAAAATGTCTCATTATAAATTAATTTTCCCTTCCCCATACTAAATGATGCTTTTCATGTTAAGACTCTCTGATAGTACTGCAAATTTGAATTATGTGAAGACATTCTAGTGACATGATATCAAAGACAAATGACATCACGGACTGATAAAAGATGCTGGGCGTTTTCCTTGAAAATGACATAGAAGTCATACCAAACTTAACAACAACCAATCAACATTTTGCATAGGTATCGAATTTAAAAATAAAAAACCACTATGAGTGCACACTGGCCTATTTCTGATAGTATTGGAGAAAAAATTTGGAGCCAAAAAGAAAATCTGAAGTGCTTACGTATTTACATATAGCCCCACTGTCCATAAACATAAACATACTTTTCATTTAAGGTGCAAACTTACACACTGTTACACCTCTGCATACTTATATACTGTAGCAAAGCCAAAAAGTGCTCTCCAAAGACCACCGAACATGGCTAATAATATTTGCTAAAGAGTTACTCTTAACAAGCATATCGTTAAAGTAAAAAAGCTAGAATTAATTGGAGCATCTTTTCCACGCAAGATTTCTAAGAAACTTTCGGCTCTCAAATCAAAAAATAAATTCTCCGGGTTCCCTCAATGAACATAAATGTATAAAATTACAATACCATTTTCGACCAGTCAGCAAAAAAGAATAATTCAACATATATCC